GTTTAACAGAAAACCTGTCCAGGGCCACTCTGTGATCCCAGTCCCGGGCCGCTTAGCCATCCCAATCCGCCCCTGATAGTATTAATTAAACATAAGATTTTAGGTGTATCCAACAAAGAGATTGGCAAAGGTGGGGCGCATTTTAGTCTTCAATGGGACTCCACAAATCTGTTTGTAGCAGTGAGGGAGTAGTGCTTTATACAATAGGATGCAAACCACCAAATATTGGATTTATAATCTATACATGCTAATTGTTATGCGTTGCTCAGCCTCACAAGCTTGTGAACTTAAATTATTATAACCAGAAAATAGAGTACATAGTATAAAAAAGCAATAAAGGAAATTGAAAACAGTTTTGAAAATGACATCTGTAGCATAATAACCAACAAAGAGTAGCAAAAATGCAAGTCAAAATAACAACTAATGCCCCGACTCGAACGCAGCCATTAAATCCACCTCACAAATTAGCACACATTCATATAACATCTTGCATTATGTCAAGTTTGAAAAATGCCATACTTCAGAGCCCTAAAGACCTCTAGATGCAACATACGTTGAGAACCACATCTTGGTATCCAATGGTACAGCATATTTTCCCACAATCATAGCTTCTCATATATGTTTTACAGGTTACTTCATCCTCACTGCATTCTTCAATATGGCCACGCTTCACCTTGCTACAGGACATGGGGTATTTATACTAGTCATTGTTCATTTTATTACTCTTGCTGGAGCTCCTAAAAATTAATTGTGGTATCCAGTCAGTAGTAAAATTTCCTTCTGACGTCATTATGACAAAAATGGCTGTATCTTCAACATCGTTTCCAAAGTTAGAACATTCAAGAAATGGACAGTACTTCACCATATGGTGAGACAGTCCATCAGTGTGGCTGTCTTACTGGTCCAGATGATGTAGTACAACAAAGTTATAATCCTGCAACATTGTTATCCAATATGTAATAATCCCCTTCAGATTTTTAAGGTTTATACGTCACATCCATGATGCATGATCCACAAAAAAAGTGAACTTTCCACCATACAGGTAGTGTTTGGCAAAGATCATAACTGCAAGTAGTTCTTTCTATGCTATGCACTATCAGCATTCAGGAGCCACGAATGTATTACCAGCTAAGGCTATTATACTTTTCACTCCATCCCACAAATGTTATAACACTGCTCTGATTCCACTATTGCTGGCACCAATATCCAACAAGAAACTCACAGTCGTATGATCGATACATCAGTATTGTAGTTTTTACTAACGTGCATTTTAGGAACAGAAATGTGCACCACCTTTAGTAAGAGCGGATAATGATATGGGAATCTTGGATAAGTTGTCCATGAAGCACTGGTAATATAACACAAAAGTGATGAAACTATGGAGTTCTTGTTTTTTTTTCATGAGCTTAGGCAAGTCCCAAACCATTGCAATCTTTGTAGGTTCAGTAAAGATTCTTTTTCTTTGCACAGTATGACCAAAAAATTTCACTTGCTTGCACGTAAGTCCACATTTCCCTGATTTAAACTTAACACATGCTATTTTTATCTGATGCATTAATATGCACAGGTTCTTGGCAGGATATTCAAAAGTGTAGCCAAATAACAAGACTTCAAATAGACTAGGCATCTTTCCCATTGCAGTCTATTTAGTAAGCGTCATAAGCCTATCAAAAGTGGTTGTTGTATTGTTGACTGAATGGCATGATACAAAATTTCTATAGACCATCTCGAATGCTGAAAGCAGTTTTAGGTCTTCTTTTGTCATCCATTTTGACTTACTA